GACCGAATCTGGCTTCCAGCCCCTGATCTGCTGCCCTCAGAGAATTACAGGCCCTGTCTGGTGCAGCCCAAACTCATGGAGGTGGACACACACTCACACACCCACACCTACACGGACAAATGCACCCCACCCCCTCCCCAGAAACACTCAGTCGCAGTTAGAGAGTGGCCCCCGTGTGTCGCGGAGTGCAGCTTTCCTGCATCTACGTGCCTCCCCAACGCCCAGCAGGTGTGGACACCCGGGTGCCCAAGCCCAGCTTCAGGGACACGGAGGAGTGGCGCTCTCTCGGGCCACTCACTCTGGGTGCCCAGCCCCAGGGCCTAGCCCGGCCACACCCCTCCTCCCGAGCCTCGTCCAGCTGCTCCTGTCCCTCTCACACACTTAAGTCCCTTGGGGTCCTCGCACAGCCCAGCGAGGCCAACTTAGGGCTGGCCAGACTAGAGACGGGTCAGAGTCAGGGGTCCCCGCAGAGCAGACACACCGGGCTAAGCCCCGGCCGCTGAGAGCGCGCGGGTTCGGCGACCCGCCCCGCTCCGCAGGGACCCCTCAGCCGCGGGCGGCTCCCCAGCATCCCAGGTCCCCGCCCCCGTCCCCGCCGGCGCGGCGAGTGTAGTTACCGATGGTGGTGATGACGGTGATGGCGAAGTAGAAGGAGCCGGCGAAGCGCCACTGCACGCCGGCCTTGTGCGGCTTGAGGCGCAGCACGACGCGCTCCAGCTCCTCGTAGCCGCCCTCGCTGAGGTTGTAGCGCGCCCGCAGCTCCAGCTGCCGCAGCTCCAGCCGCTGCCGCTCGATCATCTCCGGCTCCGACTCCAGCGCGTCGAACACCGCGGCGCCCACCAGCAGGTAGGTGAAGGTGCACACGATGAGAGCCAACGTGCGCACATTCTGCCGCTTCATCGTCCCTCCCGGGTCCTCGCCGGCCCTCCGTCGTCTCCGGCCCGCGCCCCGGCCCCGGCCGCCGCCGCCGCTGCTGCCCCGGAGGCGGCCTGGGGCATGGCTGCGCTCGCGGATCTCCACGCCGGGCACCAGCTCCGCACCCCGGGGCCACCGCCGCCGCCGCCACCGCCGCCGCCGCTGCCGGCCGCCGCGGAGCTGTCCCTTCAGCACCACCCACCGCCCTCCTCCGCCCGCCCCCGCGCCCGCCCCCAGGCCGCCGGCCGCCACCTCCCGCCTGCCCTCCCGCCCAGCCAAATAAGGACTGGGGAGCCGTGCCGAGGGCGGGGGGAAGGGGGAGCAAGCGGGAGAACCCGGGCAGGACAGAGGCGGGAGAGAGAGAGCGAGAGAGAGAGGGAGCGCGAGAGGTGAGGGGGGGGGGGGGGAGCAAGATGGGAGAGGGAGGGAGGGAGAGAAAGAGAGAGGGAGACAGAGAGGGAGACAGAGATCCAGCCCGCCAGCCCCAGAGAAAACTAGGCAGGGAAACAGATAACTACAGGGAAGGGAGAGAACCCAGGGTAGGGGCCTCTGTGTGTGTGTGTGTGTGTGTGTGTGTGTGTGTGTGTGTGTGTGTGATGGAGGAGACTAACCACCCAGACCCAGGAAAAGAGAGATCTGTCAGGGAAATGCGGTGCAAACGATGCACAGAGAGGGGCAGACTGAGACAGGGAAACTTGTGAGTGCTGGAGATACAAATGTCCTGAAAAGGGGTGGAAAGAGGAGAGAAAAGGGCAAGAGCCCCAGCCCCCAAAACAACGCCCTTTCTCTACCCCTTGCCCCAGTCATAGTGCTGAGGCTGAGGGACCTTGGGCCCCACCGACTCACTCCTTAGCCACAGATGCTGAAACTGAGCCACAAGAGGTGAAGTGACACATAGGACACACTCGGAGAGTTGGGGATAGGAAGGGGCTCGGTCCTCCCTGCTCAAGCTACTCAGGTCCTTCCCTGGACTCCAGCTTTTGGCTTATCTGAGAAACTGGTAGGGATCTGCTGTGGCCCAGGACACACAGAAGCCAATACTCAAGGGAGAGCTTTCCCTCCTGACATAGAGTCCCTCTCAGGTTAGCACCAGGTACTGGGGCCTGGCTGAGAAAGCCCAGGCTGCTGGCTGAGGCCGCTTTCCCCATCTTGATATTGAAGGCCCTTGCCCTACACCAGTACAACAGGCTTGACTTGAGCATGGCAACATAGAAAACACAAGATGCCACCTTGAAGCACAGATCTGCACCGGGGATCTAGCTAAAACTGGGGGAGGGGGTTGAGGGCATCCCGATCTAATAACTCACTCACTGGCAGACTGAAGGAACTGGTACAGGAGTCCTCTTGGCCTCAGTCTCTTCATTTGTCAACATGGGTATCTGTGGCACTGAAGAGGAAACTGGCCAGGCAGTGGGAACTCAGGCAAAGCGTTCCTGCCCCTCTTGGAACCTTATCTCTTCCACGAGTTGTCATGGCAGATGATCCCTGGGGGCTTACTCAGCTCCAAACAGCCCTGGACATGGATGGGCTGAGAGAGCAGAATGATCGGAATGCAAATCCCAGTGCCAAGAAGGGTCAAACAGCCCTTCACAGGACCCTGGCATAGGCCACGCAGAGATGTGGAATAGGCCCAAAACCCATGGCTCAGGAGGTAGCCAGCAAGGGAGGGCACCACCTGCCACATTCTGGGTTGGGATGTCATTGCCAGATACCACGTTTTATCCAAAAGCGCCTCAGAAGGGCTACCAGCCCGTTCACAAGGTTGTATCATATCTTTTGGAGTATGCCATACCTGTGAACTTTTTCCTTGGTCCTCAAAGGTAGGTCTGCTTTTAATTAGGACTGTTTCACAGATGAAGAAACTGAGTCTGACGGCAGTGACCCTCAATTTTTCAATGATCTAGGAAGAGACTTCTTGTCTCTTTATTTCTCAAGCCCACATTCTTCTCCTTGACAATCTTCTTGAGTCCTTGAACCTTTCTTTCTTCACTTGTAAAATGGGTTTGTTCACTATGTATTAGTCTCCTGAGCAGTTGGTTTTAAGGAATCAAAAGAAGTCATATGTTTGTAAGAAGAAAAGGTGAGGCTCTCTGGTGACCTTTACTGTCTTAAGACTCAGGTGTCTAGACCACACCTTGAGAAATCTGTGCCTCCTCTCCCCACAAAGGAAGGTCTTCCCTTGGCCTTGTGGGTCTGTTGGGGATTTCTGTCCCTGGCATACTTTGGCTTCTGGAAGAAGAACCATGCCATTCCCAGAATCCCATGTGCTTCTGATGTGCTTGTTCCTGGTCAGGATCCCTCCAGGAGCCAGTTTCTCTCAAGAAACTGCAAGTGACTTCCTTAGGGCTGGGGTTTAGGGGGAATATCAGGCTTTTTCCACTTCCGGCTACCAACCCCAGACTGCTATACAAATGAAAGGCAGTATTATTAAGTGAAAGAGCTTTAGAAGAGGGGAAAGCTGCCTTTGAGGCAGAAATTTATTATTAATTTTAATGGCAGTTGTTCTTGTAGCTCTTGAGAACTAGAGGGATTCTCAGAGATCATCTCGCTCAGCTTTCTCGTGTTACAGATTAGGAAACTGAGGCCTGAACAGTAGTGAGAAGGGCAGTAAAGGCCCTACAGAGGGGAGCAGAGCTGGAATAACCTACATTATGTATGGGACCAGAACACCTGTATTGCATGTCCTGAGTCTGGGAGGACAGCTTGAGTTTCCCTGTCCATCCTGTCTCTTGGGGAGGGAGGGTTAGGATGGAGGAGCGTGCTGGCACAATCAAGGTTTCTAATCAATCCTTGGGACAGCAGGTACCATTTCATACATCCTCTTCCTGGTGAGCTAGGTTGCACTGCATCAAAATCCTAACAACATACCTTGGTTCCTTCTCCACAGGACCCTCGGACCTGCCCACTCCTGCTCAAAGTCTCCCTGTCTCTGCCGGTGTTTGCAGCAGCATTGGAGGTCAGTCGCTCTCGTGTCACCTCCCTAAGTGGTAGGTTTGGACCAGAAAACATCAACATGCCTTTCACTTATAACATTCTTCCTGGCCTGACTACATCTGTTTGCTCTGTCCTCTTGAGAATTAGGCAAAAGAGGGACAAACAGCCACTTCTTTGAAGAGTAGATTATGAGGAAAGAAGCTGCCACCAGGTTAGAGTGAATTGTTTGGAGTTTATCATTAGCTACCGTGCTCCACTGTGTACAAAACATTACACGCAGTTGCTTCCAGCTTAACTGTCCATCTGTAAGCTCTGAACACATCTGTGTTCTCTCATGTTCCCTGAGACTCCCAGGTCTTCAGGGTTCCCATCAGTTGAGATACTGGTACCTCCTTGCCTCTCCCACTTTCTTCTGCCAATCTTCTGTTCACCGAGTCTTCAAGATCCAGCTCTAAGGCTCCATGAAGAGTTTCCCATTTGTGTCTCCTGCCCCCAAATCTAAACTACCTGCTCCTTTGTACCTTTATGGACTTTTGAGTTTCCATTTCTCTTGCAGAGTAGATTAGCTGCTCTTATGACTTCCCCACTGGCTTACTATCTTTTCCTGGGTAGAGACAATGCTATTCTTTTACAATATTATTCTTCCCATAATGCCTTGTACATCAAAGCTGCACTACACATTTCGACAAAAGCCAAGCCTGGAACAGTCCTGTGTCTGCTGAGTTCGAAACCAGCTTGGGCGTTAAAGGGACTCAAACAGAAAAACTTCAGCAATCCTGCTTCCATGCCTACAGACAAGATTCTTCTCAAGCTGGGGCAAGTCCTGCCAGGGAGGAAGAGGGCAAAGACAGAGCCAAGTGTCTGCTGGGGTGAGGAAGCAGGTAGTGTGGCACAAGGGGAAGTGAACTGACAACCCTGAGGCTTGGGCTTGGGAGCTAATGCTGCTGGGTAAATTGGGGAAGCAGAGTGGCTTCTCTTTGCCTCAGTTCCTGTTTCTGAGAAATAAAAGCAGTAGACAAGTCCTGACAATGCCTTCATCCATTTTACAATGATGGAGAGTGTGGGCTTGAGGGATGGAGTCAAAGAGACACTCCACCCCACTACTTCTGATCTCTGCTGCGTCATCGTTGTCATGGTTGGAGACTGGGGCAGGACCAGTGAGGGATGGGGTGGAGAAGCTGACCTGGAGTCAGACAAACCTGGTTCAAGGCTTAACCCATCAGTTATGAGCTAGCCCAGAGCCGTGGGAGAAGTTCTGGTCCATCCTGTCTAGAGCAGACCATAGCCTTTTCTACTTCACTCACAGGAGTGAGCTTTAGCACACCACCAGCACAGAGCAGGTACTTTGCAAACTTTTCTTGAGCCCTTCCTGCTGACTCTAGTCTCCTAGGTGGGTCGGTGAGAGCTGGGGCTTCAGAGAAGCAAGCTGAGGCAGGGGAAGGGGAAGGGCTCCAGAGCCATCTCAATATCAGCCAGAGGATGGCCGAAGTAGTAAGAGAACCAGGACTCAGGAGCAAAGGCAGAGAAACACAGGTTGGCTGCCCCGGGATGCCACACCAGTCATAGCCTGGGACAGTAATTTCTGGGTGCGGCTGAGAGGTTTCTTGGTCTATCTCCGGAGGTAGTGAAGTTGGGGATTAGCTTTGCTTTCCAGAGCATAACTGGTCCCACAGCAACGGCTTGCGTTTGTCAAGAGCCACTGTTTGTTTAACATCTCAAGCCCAAGTCAAACACAAAAGGCAACTGTTAGCAAAGCTGGACTCTGTGGGCTGTTGGGAGAGAACTGGGCTGGGAAATGAACACCTGGCCCTCTTAGCCTTGCTTTAGCTGACTGAAGGAATAGATTGTTTCAATCTGAGGCAAACCAGAGCTCAAAGGGTGCAAAACCCTGGCCCCTAATAAGACTGAGGACCAATCATTCTTAGAAACACTGCCGGGGGTGGGGGTGGGGGTGGGGGCCTCAGGTTTGCTCCTGATCAGCATTTGCATAAAGATTAAGTCCTGAGACTAAGCTGCCCCTCCCCTCCCCCCACTAGACAGCCCTCCTGTCTCTACCCTGCAGTGAGCATTCTCCTCCATGGTTGCTTGAGGATGTGCTGGGAGGTGCGACGAGGACCCATACCCAGAAGTGGCCACAGTGTATCCGCCCCCTGTGTGTTACTAAATCCTGCTGCTTGTCCTCAGCCGGGTATCTCGGTTTTTATTCTCCCCGGCAGTGTGGGAGCTTGCCCACTTCCTCCTCGGCACTGCGGTTACTCACTTTCTGATTTCGATGTAGTTTCCAGGCCTCCCTATTTTTCTCTGCAGACTCCTCCTCTCCCTTTCCCTTTCTTCTTTAGAACTTCTGCAGTCTCACCCTCGAAGCAGAGACACGGGATGGACTCAGCCATTACTGAGATCGCAGGCAGGCCAATGGGTAAGACTCCTCTTCGGCCTGCCGTATGTGGGCGTGAGCACGTGTGCACGTGTGGCCATGTGTGCAGGAGGCTGTGAACTTTACTGTTTCAGCTTCTGTCTTGGTCTCCTCCCATCTTTGAATTTCTAAGCCTTTACATTTTCCACTCTGCCCATTCATTAAACTTCTTCATTAAATTACACAGTTAAAGGCAGAGAGATCCTTAGACCTCTAGTACTCTGAAGAAACCAAGGTTCGACAAGGCCTTGAAGCACACAGGGCCAGAGCCGGGACTCACGCCCAACTACCCTGGCTGCCCTATCTATAGCCACAAGATAAGTCCCCTGTACTTGCCACTTCCATAGCAAAGCCCCCAGATTGTCTTCTGGAGATTTTCTAGAGTGGCCATGGCCCATCTTTCCGGATAAACACGGAATTGCTGAAGAAAAGAGAGGCCGGAGATGTCGTCAACAGCTCACAAATCTTGAAATCCTTCTTTGCAGGTTTATGGCTTCTGAGAAGCAGAGGCAGCCTGTTCTCAGCACCAAACACAATAATTATAATAGCACTCGCAATGATTAATCAGCCAGTGAGTATTGAGTGGTGCTGGGCAGGCAGGCACGGCAGGGCGAGCATGGAGTGTGTGTGTGTGTGTGTGTGTGATTTGGGGCAGGGGAACAGGCAAAAGTGGTGACTCTGCTCCCACAAGCAGGCTGTGAATGTGTTCTCCTTAATGGAAGGGGGCAAAATACCACTGTAGCCCTTCTTGGAATCGGCATGTTTGAGGGGAAACTGGGGCTGTCCAAGACTGCAGTTGTTCTGGCTCAGGCAGGATCCTGAGTTTTCCAGGCCTAGCCACTGAGCTCCAGACTGCATTGGAAGCAATGAATTGACAAACAAGAACAGGTTCCAGGCCTGTCAACCAGATTAATGAGGGGCCTTGCCAGGATGATGGTCATGGCAGGGGCGAGAGAACTTAGGATGTTCAGCCTGGAGAAAGAAACAGGGGCCATGTGAGCTGTCACACAGGACAGATTAGCTTTGTCCTGTGGGGCCAAGAAGGGACCAGTGACCTTTGGGATGATACACCAACAATCAGCACAGCATAAGATGGAGTGTCCTCCATGTCTCCCAGGAAGGCACAAACTGTCGGGGTGGCAATGACCTCATGCAAGCAGAGTCTAATTGCTCTGTTTTAGAAAGATTCTTGGAGCTAGTACCAGGCCTGGCACATAGTATGTCTACAAGAGATGAGCATTTTGGGTGCAGAGGTTAGACAAGATAGATGCCCTTTGTGATTCAAGGGTTTCACTCTTAACATTTCTGGAGCAGTCTGTCTATAGGACACTGTAACTCCCTGGCTCTTCCTCCAGAAGGGCTGCTCTGGAGTTCTTGCTGCTGAATCTCCTCAATGCTGTTTTCTCTTGACTATCCTCAAACCAATCCCAAAGCCCACCCACATCCACCCTACACGCCGCCACCTGCAGAGGTCCAACATGCAACATGCCCAGTAGCCCTGGGGCTTCAGCAAAGGAAACGGGCCTGTGGCAGGCTAATTACTGGGAGCTGATTCTATTAAGTAGATAGCTCGCTCCCAGCAAAGCAATTACACCTAATCAGCCCCTTGCAGCAGCCCAATGGGACAGCCGTGTGAGCCAGACACACGTGTGAGCAGGGACATCAAAGCAACCTGGGAGCAGGCCTGGTGGGCTCTTCTAAGGGCAAGGATGCTTCCAAAGTGGTCTCGGTCTGCCTTGGGGACCCCAGCAATGTGGAAACTGCACTGGGGAGGGGGTGGTAGACTCAAAACCCTGAGCCAAGACTGAGCTCTGCCACAGAGGAGCTACATTTCACTGAAGAGAATACTTCTCGAACTTGTGCCTTAGCTTCCAAGTCTTCAAACGAACATGTCAAAGAGGATCCATTCCAAGCTTGAAACTCTAGTCACTTTAGATTCTCATCTCAGTTAAAGTATTCAAAAGAAACCTGTTTGATAGGCTAGAGAGACAGCTCAGTCAGTACATCTCTTGCTTTGCAGGCAGAGAGAGCTGAGTTCTAGCCCCACAATCTAACAACAGCCAGGCCGGATAGTGCATGTTTATAATCCCGGTGCTGGGGAGGTAGAGATAAACAGACCCTTGGATTCCACTGGCTAGCCAGCTTAGCCTACTCTATGAGTCCCAAGCCAGTGCGAGACCTTGTCTCAAAACAAAAACAATAAAAACATGGTGGACAGTATTGTGGAAATGAATGACAATAAAGGTTGTCCTCTGGCCTCCACATGCATTTGCATAAAAACAGATACATAACACACATACGTAACACACACAAACACATACACACATACATATACACCACACACATACACATATACCACACACACATAGAGACACAAATACATACACAAACATACATAACACATACACACATACATATATACCACACACATACACATATACTACACACAAAAAACACACACATGCACACATGTACACAAACACACATATACATAACACACATACAAAACACACACAAACACATACACACATACATATACACCACACACATACACATATACCACACACAAACACACACACATACATACACATATATACAAACACACACATACATAACACACAAACACATACACACATACATATACACAACACAACACATACACACACATACACCACACACAAACACACAGACACAGACATACTCTCATGTGCATGTGTCCTCCCTCACCTGTTTAAAATATCCAAACATGAGAACACATCCAGGATCAAGTTCTTTTGACTATTTTTTAAAGCTTTATTGGTTTTTTATTTTATATGTATGAGTATCTGTCTGCAGTATGTGCATCACATATATTTGTCCCTAATATAGAAGAAAGTGTTGAATCCCCAAACCTGGGTATTCTGCAAGAGTAGCACCTGCTTTTAACCAATGAGACATTTCTTCAGCCCCATCAGTCCATCAGACCATGTTTTTAAAAAGTAACTAGAGTAATTATATATTCAGAATATATATGATTTGTATTTGTATTTTTATCTAGGACTTTTATGAAATGAGTTTTCCCCAAAGCATTCATGACTTTTCAAAAAGCTACAGTCTGGTGGTATCCGGGTCCCAGATTCATCAAGGAAGTAGGACCAAGTTTGAGTATGAAGAAGAGAGGGGAAAGGGTTCTGGAAAATACAGGTGATCAAGATGGGGGCAGGAGAGATGCTAGCCATCCTGTGGCTAGCTGTACAGTGGTCCACACAGCACGTTCCTTTCTCTAGGGAAGAATCCCCTCTGAGAGAATTTAAATGATATCAGGATGATGACAGGGGAGCTTTTGAAACACTTCTCCCTTCTGTCACCGAAGCCCTGGGACTCTGGGCTGGTACCAAGTCATTGGTGTGACCCAAACTCAACAGGCTGACGGGCAGAGGCTGGGAATGGAATACAACCATCTCTCTGGTGATTCTATGGTGAAGGCACTGTCAGGAGTGGGGACAGGGGCTGCCCTGCTGCACAGCTATCTTCTGTGCTGATGGTCACAGTCATGTCTTTTGGAGCAAGGTATCCTTGCATGCCAAGGGGCCACCTGACTTCCTGCTTCTTCTGGCCTTGGTCATCTCAGATGACTGATGGCCATGCAGTTAGACAAGGCCCTTGGTCTGTCCTCTGAGAGGGACTCTGTGGCTTATCAGCAGCCAGTCCCTGTGAGGCCACAGTGGGGACAGTGGAGAAAAGCAACCTTGACCGGGGATCGGTTCAGAGGAAGGATGGTTCTCCTGGGTGGGACTGAGGGGAGAAGAGGGAGATGGTGGCAGGCTGATTCAGGTTTGGGCTTCCTGCTCCTCTGCAGCTGCTCACCACTTTCCGAGAGAGTGGCTGTGAAGAGGATCCCACTTTGTTCCCATCTGCTTCTACTGGTGACAGACAAGAAGGCCAGCCTGGGAGGCGGGGGAACCTCAAACACAGCTAGAGAAACCTTGGCTGCTACCTGGAGGCTGGGGGACAGAGAGAGAGGAAGATGCAAGGTGCCTGGCTTGTGGTGTCACACAATGAGATCATGGCCTTCTTGGCTCTGCCTAGTCCCCAGAGTGATCTCATGTCCTGCCCCATTCACCCTATCCCAAGCTCCTTTAAGGCTGTTCTCTCTCCATTCATATCCTTTGCCATTCTGCCAAATGTACGGGTCTCGTTCTTGTCTTTAAACCAGAAACACATGGTACTAGGTACACACAGGCATATGCTGGTGCAGCGAGGGATGGGGACACCCTGCCCTGTAGAGGAGGCCACAGACAACAACTGAAGCGACTGTCATAGTTCTCAGTGAAGCAGGATTCCATTCGTGATCAGTCTGACTCCAGCCTGTGCTTTTCCCTCTCGGCCACACTCCCTCACTAGAAAATGACTGAGGGCAGAGCCAGGCAACAACAGGGGAATCAGAACAGAAGGTGCTGTTAACGCTGGGCTGGCACACAGCTAGAGCTCAGAAAAATGCAGTCACATGAATGAATGAGGAGCTCTGAACGGAAGGCGCCAGGCAGGTCCAGGAATCAGCATCAGGGTTTACCATAGCTGGACAGATGCTCAGCTTCAGGTGGGAAGCAGGACCTAGATGTGAGCAAGGCCCAGCAACTCTAGCTCACACAGGGGCTCAGAGAGACCATCAGAGAACAGCTCTGGACCCATTGAAGGTGGAGATGAGGAAGGGAGGCAGAGCTTTCTTGGCACAGCACTCGGGCACCCAGCCCAGGCAGGGACTCAGAAGGTCTCCGTGTCTGTGCAGAGCCAAAGGATATTGTTGGGGCTTTGAGCTGGTTCCTGAAGAAGAACGGCGTATCTGGGGCCCTCAGCGACTTGAAGGGGATGGGGCCATCCTACCCCTATGGATCAAGGTTGCCACGGGGAGGAAGGCTCAAGGTGGGGGTGGGATATCCAGGCCATGAGCTGCATAGATCTCTGCTCATCCAGAGATGATGTGTGTGGTCCAGTGAACCGTAGAAACCACAGCATGTCGGGGAGACGGAGGTCAGCTGGGAGGCAGTGCTCAGGCAGAAGGGCACAGCACCATCAGGGACATGGAAAAAGTGATGTCGTTAAGGAACAATGTGAGCCAAAGGAATGAGCTGGAACTGGCTGGATCTGAAAGGACAAGTGGGAAAACGGCTGCCAGACGCCCATGGGTGTCTGATGATGGCCTGCCACTACCTTTGGGTAGGGGCCGAGCCTCAGCCCCGAGGCTGAAAGTTACCCAACAGGCCTCATGGTCCTTCTCTGCCTTTAACACCACGCCCTCCACCCCTTGGTCTGTTAATCAATGCATGATAAATGGAGTCCTGAAAGACCTCCTGTCTTGACTGCACTGCCCTGATTCTCCAGAGAAGATTCAAGGAGGCAGCAGGAGGCTGACGACTGAGTTTTTGGTCATGCAAGGTGGCCTGAGTCTCTTCCCTACCCCAGCTTCCAAGAGGGGAAGTCCTGACCTCTCTTCCCCAAGAAAATGGGACAAGGAAGACACTGACTCGGGCTTCTCTTTCCTCCTTTGGTAAGAGCTGGACAAAACCAATTTAACCCTATAGCCCCAGAAGGAAGCTAGCCTGAGGCTGAGGAGGCCTGGCTGGGAGAGGGACTTCTTGGGTCTCTCCAGGAATGGTGGACTGTGGAAAGACCGAGCAGGGGGTTCAGCAGCGCTGAGAAGTCTAGGATCTGTCAGGCCCGATGAAGGGAAGCCGTGTGGTGGGGACTGAGCTGATCCACAGTCCCTAACAGGTGATGAAGCAGCAAAGGCCTAGAGAGGGCCAGGGCCCAGCTAATGGGACCCCAGTGTTGTTTCATTGAGCTCGTCCCCCATGTTGTTTCCTACTGAGAAAAATGTTGTTTGTTGGGGTCAAAATTTTAGGGACCATGTTTACTGTGGATGGGGGCCCTAACTAGTCTTCTGCTACTCTGTGAGAATGCAACATCTTCCTGGGGGGGGGGTTCACCTGGTATTTGGGGGTAAAGGAGCTTGTAGGACTGAGGGAGTGGCTGTGAAGGGTAGCTGGTTCCCAGTGGCTTGGTTAGAGCAGACAAATGGCTACCTCACGGCCTCCATATAATTGCCTATGGGACTGACAGAAATGTGCAGACATGTGCATCCCCAACTCGGGGGTTTTCTGTATCATATCTGTCCCTATGTGGTTATGCGGCCCTCCCCACTCCTCCACAGAAGACACAGAGCTTCAGGGCTTCCTCAGACAGTAGATGGGCGTGGCAGTACCCACACAATCCCTACAACACATTGTGGTCTCTCTCCTCTCTGTACACACCAGAGTCCTCATAAATGTTGTAGTTGCCCCTCAGCTGCCAGACAGGTCCCCTAACGGCTCCCATTAGCAATCCTGTCTTGCCTCTTGTGTCTGAGCCTTTGTCTCTTGCTTCAGGCCAGCTATCTTTCCAACAGCAGGGGGGAAGACAGAAAGGGACACTACTGGACAGAGGCTGAGACAGAGCGGGGAGCTGAAGCATGGAGCTGGCCTGAGCCTGGGTCAGGTTCTGGACATCCCTGTCCGCAGGTCCAGCACGTGAGCTCTAGTGCTGCAGGGGTAGGCAGCAGGCTCAGACTCAGGGCTCTGCTTTCTTAAGCTCCCAGCTGGGACTAGGAACACCAAATCCTCTTTGAATAAAACAGAAAAGGGATTAAAAAAAAAATCAAGACATTAACCTTGTGAAACCAGACCCCCTCCCACTCCCACATAGAGATTAACTTCTTCCCCCTAGGCCTTTTTTTTTTAGTTTTCATTTCTATAAACATCTTAATTCATGGCAACATCACAGCCAGCCTGGATTACAGATGGATGTAGAGGTGAATGAACTAGTCACACACACACACACACACACACACACACACACACCTGGAGCAGGGGGAAAGAACAGTGAATGAGATGCTGAAGAGCTAGGATTTATTACTGGAGTTCACTTTCCTCACCCGTAAAGGGAGTAGTTAACCCTTCTCCCTCTGTGGACTCTGTCTCATCTGATGGTCCCTTCCATCAGTGTCCTATATGAGGCCAGAGAGCCAGCTCCCACCCACACCCATGGTGACACAACACACCAAGGAAAGGGTTCCCTTCATCCCCAGCACTGGATGCCACTTTCCTTTCTATATCACAGGTACCAGCAGGGCAGGCACAAGCTGCTACCGTCCCCTGCACCTGCTTAAAGACAGGTGCTCTACAGGTCTTTGTGAGTAAATGAGTGGATAAATCTGGAAGTTGCTTTTTAAGTCACCTGGCATGGGGCTCAGCATCTTGCATGAAATCTGGACCCAAATCTTGAAATAGGGTCACTCTCCTCTTGGGGTGAGGAACACCTGACCTTTCTGGAAAGTTCTTTCCATTTCCCTCCTGACTCCTGAGTCTCAAAGCCTCGTTTCTTTTGAAGCCTTCCTCCGACTTGACAGCAGCAGCATCCCAATCAAGCAACAGATTTCCGACGCACGTTCTCCGTTCTTCCTCCCACCTTCGCCTGACAAGACGGATCATTTCCATCCCTTGATTATGTTTTGGTTTGAGGCTTCAGCCAGCTGCAGTGATTCTCAACTCTGGGTGGCAGTGGAGAGGAGGGTCATTATGGGGAAGCCTTGCCTCAGGAGACCAGGAGACAGGTGCTGGGTTCCTCCATGGTTTTGAGGCTGGGGTAAAGGTGGAACTCTTGCAGTGGTCTGGCTCTGGTTGGATCAAAGGCTCAGGGGAATCCCACTTGGCTTTCATTTTGGTCAGCATTCCTTAAAGTATACTCAGAGACCAAGGTCTCTTGAGGTGTTCTGTGGAAGCCCTGGTTCAGATACATTTGGAGGAACTCAGTTGCACTCAGCCTTTGATTGCAAGCTGCAAAAGTCAACTCGCCTAATTTAAGCTCAGAAAGGATTTATCCCCAAAGACCTTGGAGAGTTCAGAGAACCTCCTGTAGGAGCAGAAAGTCAAGGTCAGAAGGGAAGCAGCCAGTGGCAACACTCAATGCCACATGTTAGGACTGATCCCAGGAAGGCCGCCCTGCTGCACAGATAAAGAACCTGGGCCACAGCTCTGCCAGCACAGCCGCTACTCACACGTCTGTGCAACACGTTCTGCAGAGTCCTTTCGTTTCTACACTTGATCCTTCCGGGAGAATGCATCTGATTAGTGGAGTGGAATCATGGACTTCCTTCCTAGGTAAAGAGAAGCTGGACGATGTCTCTATTCAGCTCCTGTAGCTGAAGGCAACCTCTGCCTCTTCACACAAGGGCGTGGTGGTTTGAATGAGAATGGCCCACTTAGGCTCATCAGTTTGAATACTTGGTCCTCAATTGATTGAACTGCTTGGGAAGGATCAGGAGGTGTGACCTTGTTAGAAGAGATGTGTCACTGGGGGTGGGATTCAAAGGCAGGTCATGTGCTATTCCACCTGAGTTCTCTGTTTCCTGCTCATGGATCTCTCAGCAGTTGCTCCAGGTGCCTCTATTCCACTATCAAGGACCCTAACCCTCTGGAACTGTAGGCCCAAAATAAACCCCTCCTTCTATCAGCCTCCTTGGTCATGGTGTTCTACCATAGCAATAGAAATGTAATAGAGACACTGGGCAAGCTCGGCAGGTGCTGGCTGGCCTGCAAGGGTGATGAACAGGACTGGGGGAGATGACTCAGTGGGTAAAGTGCTTGCCTTGTAAGCCTGAGGCCCTGAGTTCAATCCCCAGTTCCATATGAAGCATGATAGTACACATTTGTAACCCCACTCCTGGGGAGATGGAGGTAGGGGTTCCTTGAGGCTCATGAGACAACCTATCTGTAGAACTTCAAACCAATAAGAGAGAGACTCTGTGTATAAAAAAAAATGGACAGCACCTAAGAATGAGACTTGAGGTTATTCCTTGGCCTCCACACACACTCATGCACACACAAAGAACAAATATTCACTCCACCTGGACCCTGGACTTCTTTAGGAACCCACATGGTGTGGAACAGGACTTTCTGCCCTCAACACTGTTGGTGTTCCAAGCTGGGTGTTTCTTGGTTATAGGCTGTCCTACACATTGTGAGGTTTACAGCTTCCAGCTTCCAGGCCTATACTAGTTAGGTATCATAGCATCCTGCCAGTTGTGACAGCTAAAAATGTCCAAGCACATCAACAAATATAGGGGACAGATCCCTCTCAGCCAAGGACTGCCGTTTATGAAATCTTCAGGGGACTTGCAATATATTTGTGGAGCCAGAATTGGTTTTCCCTGATTTTTCTGAACCTTTTTTCTCTGACACTCTGACTTTGTTTCATACTTTAGGGAAAGCTGGCTGGCAGCTGGGGCCCTGGTTCTAGTTTTCATGGGAGTAGGAGGTTGCACACATCAAATGGCACCCCATGTCTTCTTGTCACCACCTCCCCTCCCTCTCCCTGCATAGTTTGGAGTCTCCTGGGGGAGTCCAGTTTTGTGAACACCAAAGCCCCAGGGAGTTGGTTATGACTGGAAAGCATACCCAGGGTCTGCAGGAGGAGACTATAGAATACCATTCAGCCTGTATTCTTTCCCCTTTGGTTGTGAACTTACCCTGCATGCACACATATTGCCCTGACTATGAAGAATATGACCTTGGAAACAAGTTGCCTGCCCATGGCTGTCCCCTGTGGGCCTACGCCTATGATTTGACAAAAATCCCACAAGGTTCACACTCCAGCAGCTGGTCTCCAAGGCCTGGGCTCCTTGTCTGTATTTTATACTGGGCCAAGGCTGTTATTATTACCCAAGGACTACTCTAGTTACAGGGACAAGCACACATGCTCCAGCACAGAAAGCACCCCTTCCACTGTGGGATACAGGTCTCAGAGGGTGGGACACCTCCCACAGCCCTTGCCTTGGAGGTAGACCTATTAGAGTTGCCACTTCTAAGCCCAGCATGGCATGAAGTAAGTGTCTCTGAATGTTCAGCTGGCCATTCTGGAGATTTCTGTGACCTGGGAGTTTCCTTACATGGATGGCTCAGTCCTTGCTTGCAACTTCATCTTCAGATGTCTTTTATGTGGTTTACAGTTGTCTCCATCTTTGGATGTCTATTATGTGGTTTACAGTTGTCTCCCAGGGACTCTGGTTCTTACCCTTGGGAAATGGGTTCAGTGCGAACCGAATTCCACAGGGTTAGCCAAAGCAGCATTTGATCTATTTTGGATATTGTCACTTTTCTCTCTAAACTCCACTTTCATTGTCCTTGAAGATTTTTTCTTTTTAAAGACTGCTTCTTCTCTTCTCCACCTGGGATTCTGTATTTAAGGTTCTGATCGGTGGCTCCTGGTTGGTAGAAAGAGGGGGGCCCTTGAGGTCTCCCTGAGGATTGAAGGCCCTTGTGTTCTGGGCCTGGGGTATATACTCATAAGGCAGGAGAGACAACTGGAGTGAAAAGGAAGAGGGGGTGGGGGTAGTCTGAAAACTCCTTGGATCCCTACCAGCTAGAGGATGCGCCAATGGAAAATTCCTGCTGTGTGTCAGAGGCCCACCTGGCCCGGGTGACAGCCAGCCAGACACACAGGCCTCACGACATGTTTAGATAGCACTTTCCTGCCCCAGCCAGAGCTCTTCTGATCCTTACCCATGCTTCTCTTGGAAAAATAGGCTGGGCTAGGTTGGAGTGCTTGCCTGGGCTCAGGGAGGTGACCTATGGCTCAGGTTCTAGAGACCTTTGATAAAAAGAAAAGGCTCAGGTCATTCGCAGGTCTGCACTGAGCACTTTCTGTGATTCAGAAAAGGCCATATACAGAGTCCTTACTCACCCAGTGTCCTGCTAGAGTGAAGCTACAATTCCTAGGGGATTCCTCAGGGGTGTTGGGAGAGGCCAGGGTCTTAGAAGTGGCACGTATTGAGAGCAGTTTCCAGTTAATATTCTCTGGGTCTGGCAGGACCTTTGACTCTCAAAGTATGGTACTTACCTAAGTCCACCCCTAAACTCAGTATCTTTGGGTCTATGAGTGCTCCAGGGGCTACACTGTGTTCTGTGATGTAGACTGAGCAGATCCCTGAGCCTGACAGTGGCCAAGGTGGAGGACCTTAGATTTTGCACAGATCTTATACTCTTGGCCTTTTCTGTCTGGGGTTTAGAGCTAAACAGAGGCAGCCTAGGAGTAGGTATGGAATTAGGAGGCATTTTTAGCAGCCTGGGTAAATCAATAATCTACAGATTCACAGAGAGATCCTGTCTCCAAAAAATAACATGGAGGGTGATAGAAAAAGATATCTTCTGGCCTCTGTGTGCACATGTTCACACATTCACACACACACACACACACACACACACACACACACACACACACACTGTATTGGGGTTAAATACAGGTCACGATGAACCTGTAAATGTAAACACTGATTTCTTGTAATTTTGACTGATCAGAGATTCTGACAAGGCCCAGTTTGGATAATAGTCAGTCCCCATGGTTATGCACGTGAGAAGTCTCTGACAGAGACAATTAGCATCCAATGTAATACCAAGAAGACAAATCCCCCAGGTCACCAGTTTCTAAACTCTACTCCCTCAGGGGCTAGTTCCTCTTGTCTTTAGATTGTTTAGATCACTTCCCAGGAATATATTTAAGAAAAGCTCTGGACTTTATCACATACAAGCCAGGGTTGTATCACATACAAGGACAAACCCTGGCCCCAAGGCTCACTCTTGTTGGACCTTGTACGAGCCCATTTCATAGGAATTTCCAGGCCCCCTCTTGTCCTCCCATTCCTTCTTCCTCCTATGGTCAGAGATCTTTCTCACGCTCTTCCAGTTATTCTGAAAGAATGGTCCCCTGTCAAATCCCAGTCTGTACTTTCCTAGCTCCAGGTCAAACACACTCTGGAGAGCCCCAGAGCCCAGTGAATGAACTCCAGGTAAACTTTCCTCCTGAGACCAACACAATCTATCTCTTCTCTTTACCTTCCTTGCACCTGTGCTTTTCCCAGTTCCCCATGCTTACAGGATCCTCTGGGAGTCAGGACACCTTGACAACCTTCTTACCTCTCTTGAAAAAGCAGTCCATGTCATGCCATATATCTTTGAGATCCCAGGGTATCCCAGAATGAAAAAGGCAGAAATGGGAACACAATTGTGAGATTTTGTGTTTGTGTGTATGATAGACAGATGATAGGTAGGTAGATAGATGATAGATAGATAGAAAGATAGATAGATGGATAGATAGATAGATGATAGATAGATAGATGATAGATAGAAAGATAGATAGATAGATGATAGGTAGGTAGATAGATGATAGATAGA